ACTGAAAAATTTAATTTTTTCTGAAAAGGTGGTGTCTATGTACTTGTGACCACTCAGTGTATATTGTATATGTTTTACACTTTTCCTTTCATTAACATTGCATACACAGAAGATTTTCTATTCCGACTCGCATAGCTTCTTTTTATTTCCTTTAATCATTCATCAAAATATATGCTTGCATTCATGATTTTGTACATATATCCATGCTATATAGCACACAAAGAACACTAGAATTACTGAATTATAGCTTAAATTTAATATGATTAGTCAGATGTATGGTACATTTTGATTATACAGTAGTTTCTCTACTGAGGTTTTATGTGCATGTTCATAGTAAATTAATTATATTAACATATTTCCATATCATACAACCAGAAACTTGAAATGATTGGAGATAGCAGTTCAGTTTAATGTTTTCTGAAATATTTTATGTTCCAGTTTTATTATGGTTCAATAGATATATTGATTCTGTTAACTGATATATAATTGATATAATTTGTTATATCTAGATAGTATATCTCAGTAGCATCCACCTATTGTGAATTTGCAGTCATTCTATATGAGCAATTGTTTATTGAATTTTTTTATGACATATATAGGATCAATAGACATATAATTTCCCCCTTCATATTTCTCTTTTATTTCATCAAAAACTCACATGAGGCCTAAACTTACCATTACACATTGTTAGCCAACAATATTACATTTAAGTTTGATGTATCATCTGGCTGCATCTATATAAATGATGTATGTTGAAGTTATATGGCACCCATCCAGGTGACTGCACCCCTCTTTCCAAAATCCTAGATCTGCTACTGCCTGAGGAGATTCATACTTGTCCATGAAATTGCAAGAACACTGTCACGAGAAATATGAAAGTCTTCCATTAGCACACTCATTGTCAGGCTGCAGTTCTGTCTCATCAAAGCATGGGCATTTGCAAGAAGCCAGTGTACAAGATACTCTCAAACACAGAGAATACTGCTGCAGTAGCTTGGCTCAAAATGATTGGACGCGACCAAGTATCAGGGTCAGAAAATTAAATAAATGTAACTCGGCCTTTTACACCCAAATTATATGACTCACAACTAAAGTACCTAGATTGCCATTCAAACCATAACGAACTTTGTTTTGGCGACAAAGAAGGATGTATCTATCTCCAAATTCCGATCAAGTAAAGCAAATTTTTTATATTATGTGAAACGGGTTTCTTATCAAATGAAAATCTGGACTATTGGGATCATAAAGAAGAGCCTCAGGAAGGAGGTGAAGGGCAGAGATAAGGGATAAAGGTAAAGATAGATAAAAACAAACAACTAGAAAGAAAGGACACCTTATCAAATCAAAATTTTTGAGACTTGTGACAATTTTCTTCACAGAAAATTTAAGGAATCTGTTTTGATTCAATCCAGATGCCCTTCCACTAACAGGTACAATGCCTGGCCTGTATAATACTTTTGTTCTAATTTTTTACTATTATGTTTGTTTTGTTTTGAAATTAAGCACAAAGCTACACAAAGGGCTATCTGTGCTCTGCCCACCACGGGTATCGAAACCCGGTTTCTAGCAGTATAAGTCCGCAGACATACCGCTGTGCTACTGGGGGGCTTACTATTATGATCAGCAACTCTAACCCATTAACAATACTTTTAGCACGTTTCATGTATACTGTTCCCTTATATTGTTGTAGTTCTATTTTCTTTTCAGTTACTGTAATTTAAAATCAGTTTGGTACCTGTGACGTTCACTGACCCTCGAAAAAGGCAAAAGCCATAATGTCGGGTTGAATAAATTAACTTTTAACTGAAGTTGTTTGATGTCTTCATTGAGAATAGAAATTCACCCACACAAATAAATATATATTACCAGACCACTCAATCAATTGTCAACACATTTTAATATTTTTTTGGTTTAATTTCCTGTTGCCCTTCACCATATGTTCGAACTTCATTGCCAGTGTAGCACATGCCTATGGTTATCTATTTTTTACACTGGAACTTTTTCTTGAGAAACTGAAGGGGTAATTTTATCCAATCAAAGATAGTCTTACTTAGGTCAAATCCAAGCCCTGTAAAGATGACGTCCCAGGCTCCAGAATAGTAAAAGTGAAAAGAAATCAAACCAATATAGTCTTTTTTTTTCCCTGCTAGTCCCAGACAAGAACAATAATAATAATGATCTAGACAAGCAGAAAAAGAAGAAGTTTGATCGTGACCACCCGAGAACTGTTAAGACTCAATGGTTCAAAGGGCTTTACATGGTTTGTAGTGAGGGATGATCTGCTGAAATGCTCTGTGTGAAATGAAATGAAAAAAAAAAGACATCTTTACAGTCAGCAAAGATTTGGACAGGCCAAAAGGGATGATTTGATGAAGCAAGAAAACATGGTTGATCATCATGATGGTGCTATTAAATCAAAGTTAAAACAACACATGAAAGTTGTCACTGTGAATTCTTATTCCAGTGTAACAGATTTTTCAAATGGCAACTGTTCTGACCCAAGCCAAGGAAGGCATACCAGCATCAAAAAATACTCTTCTCATTCGGCTTCAGATTTTCAATGTAAGTTAAGTGTGCATTTTGAAAACTACTTCATGAAATACCACACCCATGATAGTATTGAAGAGACTGCAGCATATTTTATTGTATGAAACATTAATTGGTTCAAAAACATTAATCTACTCCTTAAATGTAAACTATATAAATATAGATTTAGTTAAAATATTTGGTCTAATTTTATTCATGATATACTGGCTACAGTTTTGTCTCATATTTTTCATTGACAGAGTGTGACATCATTTAAACATCTTTGAAACAGAAACATCAAGCCACTACCATCATAATGATTCTGTTAATGACATATACAAAGCTCTTGCCACAGTGGTGAGGGAAGAAAGAACAACAAGAAGGCCCATTTGATGTTTTTGCCATTTCTACTGATGAGGCGACAGATAGCTCAAACCTGTATACTGTTATTGTATATCCGAGATTTATTGGAGTGGATCATTAAGTCCATAAAAATTCCTAGGCATGTCTGAACTTTCTGCTACTTCTGCAGACAGGGTGTATAATGGGATCAGGAAGGTGATGCTGGAGCATGATCTGCAGTTGGAACACATGGTTCGGCATTGCTACAGATGGTGCATCTATGATGAACAGGGTCCACACAAGAGTTGCTAGCTACAGATGGTGCATCTGTGATGAACCAGAGTCCACACAGGAGTTGCTACTAAATATGATCTGTTCACATTCACAAGAATTTATATATTTGTTTCAACTATAGCTGTTAATTTCTTTACTTAAAAACAAAAGTAGTTTTTCAATTCATAACTATATATATACTGCACCATAAAAAAATATTAGTAACCCTACAAAGTCTATTGCTAAATTAACTCTTAAAATATTACATAATTGTACATTATCTACTTACTTGTTTAAATCACTAAAAACAAAATATTTATATCTGAAATGCTAAAGTGTTTAAGATATCAACAAAAAATTTGCACTTTTGAAACACAGTACAGCCTGAACTACATATCCACAAAAATAATGTAGGTGAATAATTATAACTTAATAATTTTGATCTTTATTAATAGATAAAAATTACCAGTAGCTTATTGTTATTAAAATTTTATTAGAGGTTCAAACAACAGCATCCTCATATCATCACAAAACATTGTATGGCTCACAGACTTCAACTTATGAGTGAGAAGTCAGGAAACAAGGTGCCCTACCTAGTGAAGTACTTGGGAATTATCAATCAGTTCACCAAGTCTTTGAAATTTTCCCCCAAAGCTTTGTCATCCTGCTAGAGACAAGCAAAGAATTACATGCCAAAAGTGCGAACAAGATTTGCCAATTTTTTTCACAAGATGGCTTTCTTTTAGTGAGAGTGTACAGGCCCTCATTGGGTGCCTGGGGGAAATCATCAGTTGTCTTGCTGCAGCTGGTGCTGTGCGTGGCCTGGAAGGTAGGGTGGTGTTACATGGTCTCATGACACAGATGACATCTTTAAAATTTGTTATGATGGCACATTCTGTGTGATTCAGTGGGTGTTTTATAATCTTGCCAGAAAACATGCAAAAGGATGGAGACACATACACAGTAGTCATGCCACAGGTAGATGCTACCAGACTTGCACTAAAAAGTCTTCTTACATCACCAGGCTCTCACATTAGGCAGGTGTTGGATATAACGCCAGACCAGCCATGTCCAAGTGGCTATGCTGTCTTCCATGGGCTTGATATAAAAGATTCTCCATCTCAGAGGGAAATAGTTCTAAGCTGCTGCTGAAGCATTTCTTGAGAAACTTGATAACAGGCTTGCTGTTACCTTTCCTGACAGCAACTATATGATGAATTCTGAGCTTCTAAGCCCAGTGCACCATCTATAAGCAGTTGGATGGTGCTACCTGAGTTCAACACACTGCTTAAAAGGTATGAAGCATTCACAGATACATCATTGTCCAAAGTTGAGTGGGTTTTATTGAACAATGCAATGCAACAGGACCAATTCAAGAACATGGATTTGTTAGCATTTTACAAATGTCTCCTTCATGACACCACAGATTTTTCAGACCAAAGCAAACTGACTTGTATTGGACTTACTATCCCAGTTACCTCAGTTGATCGCAAGCAAGGGTTTAGCACCTATAATGGTATTAAAACCGATTCTTGTAACATGCTTTGTGTGGATCATGTTGAGACACTGATGAACTTGTCCTTGTGTTAAACCATTAGAGTACTTTGACTTAGAGAAAGCTTTCAAAGTCTGAACTGCTACCAAGGGCAGAAGAAGTTAAGCATCTATGATGAAGGCCAGTCTGACTGAGCAACAGAGTAGCAAAGAGGAAAGCTCAGCCTCTGAGTATCAGAAGCATCCACAATTATCCATGGAAAAAGGACTGGACAGGTTGCAAACCCTGGCTACCAAGTCCCGTAAAGAGTGTGACTCTTCAATAGATTAATCTTTGGTTAAAGTGAAAACTGTGCATTGGCTGAACATGTAAATTATACTGAACATACCATCCAGTGGGGGGAAAAAAAATGTTATTTTGGCACAACTGAATAATATGACAGCTAGAAATATTAGAGAAACCATTGAAATAATGAAACACAGCAAAAACAACTTGATCTTAAATAAGGATGAAGGGTTAGAAAATTAGAAAGTATTTAGATGGTGTGATTTTATTTTTTGAATTGTAAACTAGTAGTCATATGACCATGGTTTTTGTACTTGTATATCACACAGTAACTGTTTATCACACTCCTGAAGATGATGTGGAACCATGTTGAAACTCATAGACTGACTTTTACAACCATTAATCAAGTTAAATAATGATTTTAGTTGTGTATTATAAAACACTGTTCATTTGTGTATTTTAAATATATACACATGTTCCTTGAAATTTAAACTTTTAATATTATGAATCTACCAACTGGAATTTTATCAAGGACTTTCGAAAAACAGAGGTGCAAGTTTAAGTGAAATGTAAAAGAAATGGTACTATATCAAAATTTATCAAAGTAAACTGTAACATCAAAGGAAGCTGTATCGACTACTGTTTACAGAAGACTGAGCAATGGATTTTGAAAATTGTAATTCAACAGAAAAGATGTGTTACAGCAAAGTAAAAAGGCAAAGAAAAATCTTAAACAACAATGGAATGCAGGGAAGAAAATTATTTGGACACATACTCAAGGCAAGCTGGAGAAATATAAATTAAAACTAAAAGAGAAGTATAACTCTTTACTGAACAGAGACAGTACAAAAGAAGAATAAACTAAACGAGTTGGAATAACCACCTGAAACTTACGTTATCTTAATAAGAAATACAATATTGTATTAAACGATAAACAGATTGATGTACTTAACAAGGGGATGGGATTTTTTTGTAAACCTAAAAATGTTTGGAAAGAAGATTTCATTACAGAAGTGGAAACAGGCCTGAAAAAAATTAAGGATATTGATTGATAAAGTGTATATCATTAGATTTGAATGTAAAGAGTTAATAAAAAATGTTAAAGTCAATTTGGAGAAAAATGAAGATGTACAAATCTTAAAATCCTTAAACAATTTGGACATTGTAATTTGTAAACTTGATAAAGGTGGTCAAATGGTTATCTAAAATAAAGAGGACTACACTAAGATTGTTGAACAGTTACTAAACAATGGTATATAAGAAAAGGTTAAAACCAACCCTCTTAACAGACTTCATGAATTGGTTAAAGAAAAAATAAGACTGCCTAAACCTAACTTCCCCAGAAAAAAGATAGTTGGTTCCAAGTAGTTTTGTAATTCCAAGATTTTATGCTTTACCTATATATTCCTATAGACCCATATATTCAAATGTAGGTTCATCCTTCTACAAGGTAGCTAAATTTTTAGAATGTAAGTATTCTTTCTTGAGTGATAAAAATACTTATACCATTAACAATTCCATAGAATTCGTTGAACAAGTATGTAAAGTGAATCTAAATAGTAATGATATGCTTGTATCTTTTGATATTGTAAACTAATTCCTGGTGGGTATGACCCCTCCAAATAATGACTTCCATGGAACGATTTTACATTGACTAATGACTTCTTGACAGATGCAACATACGACCATGATTTTTGGGTGAAAAGTCAGTTAATGACCACTCTATAGCGACTTTTCTTCATATCAATAATGTAATTTACAGAGACACATGAATACAGTGTATACAGTATGGAACAAAAAATGTAACGTGACCCGAGATTGTTTCACAGTTCAGTACATGTATATTGATACCCTAGGGTGTTCAAATCAAAATTTTGGTTTAAAAACTTTCACATCCTGAAAGATAACCAGGGACAGTCAGAAACTGTTGTGTATCTTTGTTCTGCTTGCAGAATTAAGGATTATTCTGTTAGTGAATGTAGTAGATTTTGAGCTAGTTGCCTAGACATTAAGTAACTTGATTAGTATTTGCTAGCGGGTGTGAAGGTTATTAACTCGCATTTGTTGAGTGTGTGGTAAACATGGCTAAAGAAATTCCTCAAGGCATCTGGGAAAGCTGCAAATGTCTTAAGCTGAGAACAGGAAGTCGCTGCGAAGGAGGCGGCTCGAATCATCACCTCAGAGTGTTGATATAGAAACATGATGTGGATGTTGATATAGACCATAGCTGTGATGAAAACAACCAGTTCCAAGTTATACGTAATCTATAAATGAAACATGGAAATTGGAGAATTTTTGGTCAACTTGAAATTGTTTTAATGCAGTATGCTACATTATCTTATTATGTATACAGAATATAAACCATTATGCTCAACCCCTGGGAACAGCAACTGGCACAACTTGAACTCAGTCGTTCGTAATCTAGTTATTGATTCTTTGAATAACAACTTCCTATCAAATGCAACTTTTTATTATAGCAGATAGTTCAGTCATATCTAAGAGGACTACTGAATCATTATTCACAAAAGTACCTATTGATACAGCTGTCAATTGTTTTAAAGACAAATTACATGTAAACAGTGTACCAGTCATCGAAATTTTAGACACAATAAACTTAACAAAAATTTGTGTTGAAAATCATATTTTCAATTGAATAATAAGATCTATAAACAGACTGAAGGCCTAGCTATGGGTTCTCCATTATCTCCTTTATAGTGTGATCTTTTTATGGATATTTGAAATTGATGCTTTACAGAATGCTAAACCTAAACGGAAACATGTTCGTGGTGTATCGGCATGGTAAAGAGAGCCTGCTAGAATTCGCTAATTACTTAAATAGCCTCGAACCCTCTTTTTCAATTGACTCACCAAGTTGAAGAAAATAACAGCTTACCATTTTTAGACATACTTGTTAAGGAAAACAAGAATAAGATAGAAACTTCAGTCTATTGTAAACATTTTTCTGTTATCTTGTAGCCACCAAGAATCATTTCACCCAAAGTTGCAAAAAAGTCAGCTTTTTAATCTTATGTTTACTATGTTCTAATTCAACAGGTTTAAAAAATGAACTGTTACTTATTAAACATGTAGCATTAGTTAGAGGTTTCTCACCTCAGATTGTTGATAGAGCCATGAGGAAATTTAAGTGTTGAACAAAAAAGTTAAAATCAACATTTGATAAAATAGAGAAAAAAGAAATTTTCCCAGATTTATCATGTCAACTTCTTCATAAATTCAAAAAAAAAATCTTATCGTCACTTACAGACCATAGTATAAAATTAGTCAAATATTAAATAAAACTAAAGACAAAATAAATCTAATGGAGAAAACAGGTATATATAAAGTTCAATGTAAATGTGGTCATGCATACATTGATCAAACTAGAAGAAATTTAAAATGTAGAATAAATGAATCTAAGAGAAATGTTAAACAAAAGTGAAAACTGCATTAGCTGAACATGTAAATTATACTGGACATATCATCCAGTGGGAAAAAAACTGTTATTTTTACTCAACCGAATAATTTGACTGCAAGAAATATTAGAGAAACCATTGAAATAATGAAATACAGAAAAAACAACTTGATCTTAAACTAAGAATGAAGGATTTGAAAATTAGAAAGTATGTAGATGGTGTGATTTTATTTTTTGAATTGTAAACTAGTAGTCACATGACAATGGCTTTTGTACTGAAGATGACGTGAAACCATGTTCAAACATGTAGAGTGACTTTTACAACTGTTGATCAGTTTAAATAACGATTTTAATTGTGTATTATAAAATGTTGTTCGTTTGTGGATTTTAATATTTATCTACAAGTTAGTTTAATCCTGCACAAGGTGACAATCCACAAAAAAGATTACAATTTCTGGTATTCATGAAAAACATTGCATTGATATTTTATATAGGAAAAAAAAATAGAAATTTTAAGGGAAAAGTAGGGATCATTGGTTATTTGTAGAATTGCTAAATGAAGGATAAAATAAATGATGCTGTTTTAAACTGCTTCATTTAGCTATATGGATCACAATGCCAAAGTAGGGATTAAAAATCTATACAACTAGTATCACTTTACTTGTTTGTGTATTTTGTTTTGGATACTTCTTATAGCAATTCTACGAATAACCAACAACCCCTACTTTCAGTTAGAATTTTAATTTTTTTCCCCCATTTATTTGTTTAATTTTTGTATATCCATGGAATGGACACAACATCCATAAACTTTTGGTATAGCCATATCCCTGATAGCTATAACTTTTACAAGAATTAAAACCACAATCACAAATTTATAAAATGTAATCCTTACTTTGTCCTACAGATAAGTTTATAAAGCTGACAAAGTAGGGATTAAATTTTATAACTTTGTTGTTGTGGTTTTAATTTTTCTTTCCTTACTCTTTGAAGCAAAATCCCTATTTCATTTTAAAATTCATAATTTTTAATACTCTTGTTTGTTTACTTTACATGTTATACCTGTATAAAGTATATACTTTACCTTTTAGAAACTGTCAGTGTCTGTCCATTGATATGTAGCACCATCTATTGGGTGGAAAATATATGTAAGTATATGCATGATATGTTTACCATTTATAAAAAAATCTGTATATACTTATTGGAATATCAAAGTGGATACCCACAGACCAGTCAAGTAAGCTGGAGAAATGACAGTCTGAGCCATCTATGGACTAGCACCACTGATGTGATCAGGTAGGTGAGTAGCAGACAAAAAAAATTGCCATTTTAGAAATTTTTGAATTGTCATACTGGAAATGTTAGCGAAGCTTTTTAGCATACTATTAGTATATATGCACAAAATATATCATAACCAATACTTTGAATGGTTGGTTTTTTTGCTTAGGAATTCAATAGGGTGGATTTTTGGCATGTGAATTATTAGGAATCCCTGTTGATCCCTACTATTAAGTACTACAGTACTTAATAATATACACATTTTTCTATAAATGTTGTCTCCTATCAAAAATAAGTTTTCAATCTGCCTACCTAATTGTACTAACAAATGGTTTGAAACTTATATTACTGCTTTCAGTTTCATACTTACAAGTTGTTTGAATCATGGAATGTATTCCATTATCTTTTCATTAACAATGTCTGTGAAACATCAATATATATAATTTTGTTGTAATTTGTCTGTTGGCTAGTAGGAATTGTGGATCATAATAATAATGTCAAAATCAGACAGGCCTAGAATTCTGGAGTCCTCCAGATTTGATATGAAGTTTTCTAGTAAATTTGAGTATATATTATAAATACTAGATAGTCAAGAAAACATAGAACTGTTTCTAGCCAGCAGAAGAGTAAATCAGTCACTGTGTAGTTTTAGGATCACACCTATTGAGTTACTTTGTACAAGTCTATGCTTACCTTAGTGTAATGCAGTTGGGTGTTGTTTGTAAAAAGTGTGCAAGTGTTCAAGCTTGTAGAAACACCAAAGAAGAAATAAACTGATTTGTTACTGTTTACATGGACTGGACATTGATTTATTTTTGCCACATATTTTAAAACAACCTATCAAGAACAATACACACACACACACACAAACAAGTTTCCACCTAACCCATGTGTTTGGGCCACAATCTGTTTCTAACCTTGCATGACTATTTTCATTAGCATAACTCAAAGGAAAACTGTACTTAAATGTATGGTTTGTTTTTTCTGCACATCATCATAACCTTAAATCAAAATTATAGTTTTCAGGATTAACAAACACTGACCTATAATATTATTATTCCTATAATACTTTTCCAACAGTTATATCTAATTACTTATACCTATTTTCATGACAAAAAAAGATAAAACCTCATAAATCTTGTACAATAGATTTAATTGAAGCCTCCACACACTACTATAATGTCATATTCTCTGTATGTGTAAGCCTAGTTTACCACACACCACTTCTTGTAGATCATTTTCTTGAAAGTAAACTGAATCCTTTCCATATATATATATATCAATAGGTGTGGGTTAAAAAAAACCTTGGTCCTTATAATTGCACATTACCAACTTACAGCTGTATGCATGTTAGTATATTTCACATTTACTAAGTTTGGGTATAGCTGCTCAACAATGTTTCCACTTCTCGAAGTCTCTCTATGATACCAGTCAACTGTCCTTCCGATACTTCAAACCTTATCCGATCATCTTCCTAAAATAGAAATAGTCACAGTAAGAATAGCTTATAAAACACATGATCAGGATATGTATCTAAAACTTAAGTACAAAATAAACACAATATTCAAGACCTTAAACCAGCATGAAAATTTAGTTAGGGGTGCTGTTATGATCATAAAATTTATAGAACTGCACCTTCAACTTTGGTGCAAAAAGGGAAATATATATAAATGTACATTATTTTTTTAATTTACGAATGGTAAACACTAAGAATATATTATCAAACAAGTAGAAATTTTGCTTATTGCAGTGATATCAGTGGCAGTTCTAGCATATTTTCAATGGTCCTGCTCCTTCTGACACTTCAAATGTGGAACTGATATATGAATCAATGCTAATAATGCTTATTTTTTCATAAGTGAAAAATAAATAAAAACCTTGAAATACTATTATGGATGTTAAACATGAATGAGAATGTGAACTTGTTCTTTGGCTAAACAAATTAATGCTTTTTTATTTATCATCACTGTAATCTGTCAAAATGCAAGTTATCAACCATCCAATTATGTCATCTTTAGGGTCATATTGACCCAACAGAATTTCAAATAAATGAAACAGCCTCAACTTGATAAAGTAAACATTTTTCTTACCCGAAAATCAATTTCTAATAAATACTTACCTCTTCACACAGTAGCTATTTCTTGTGCACTTCCATTGAGATTTTGTGCGTGACACTAGCCTTGGAATATCTCCTTCCTAAGTTGCTTGTTTTGTCTTGAAATGCACTAGTACATCCCCATGCACAATAGATCCCCATAAGCACTTGCACTCAAAATGAATTTAATTTTTAGACAAAGTAAAAATAAAGTACACTGGTAGTGGGATAGTGTACAGAGAGGTATCTGCCAGAAATACATTTTCAGGTAAGGAAAATGTTAACTTCTGAAACAGTTTACTTATTACCTCACTGTACACAGTAGCTAGAATACCTCCCTGATTTGGTGGAGGGGCTGGTGCAAACAAGAAAAACTAGATAAGTTTACTTCACAGAAGGCATCAGAAAAGGAAAGCCCATGGAGTGTGACACCCAATAGCACGGGCTTACTAGATGACTACAGTAGTTGGAGACTGCATCCTTCTCAGACATGGTGTGTTCTTTGCCCAGATAGAAGTATGAAAGGAAGAAGGCAAAAAATGACGCAGTGTGTTGCATGTACATGTGGAAAACAACACGAGTAACCAAGCTTTTCCACACAAAAGGTTGGATAAACATGAAGTGTAGTATGGCTATGGCAATAATAAGATTGTACAGTTTGGTATGTGTTCTGTTGTACAATTTACACACCATACATATAGGAACAGAAATAAGGTTCCTTTTTGCCTCCTGAAGAGAACCCTTTCCCACCTAGCTGGTTAAAACCACTGGGAACTAGGCATACAATATAATAGGTGATGGCCTGCACTACACTTACAAGGACACCCTGCCCAAACTTTAGTGCCCACTCAGACTATTTCCAGAGTGATCGCACAACCAGTAAGGAATTCTCCATGTTGACCACACCCAGCAGCTAGAAACTGAAAATGGCAAGGTTTTCCATACTCCACTTGAAGACTGGGAGGATGGGGTTTCATGCTGGGGAACTTTGGAGAAGTGCCCAGATGCAATTGGACCTAACCACCACAAAGATATTTCATTGGAGAAAGTGCAGTGGATTACCAAGAAACTTATTTTGAAAAGCTGACATTTGTGAGCTTGGATGTGGGCAGGTACTCTCCCAGTGCTGGTAGTGGTCTTGCAAAGAACCCCATCTCAACAGTGGGAACGTAGAAACCAGAGTGGATGGGCTTAACACTTTATGTTACCCCTAACTTGATGCAGATTTGGAGAAGCAAGTATACCAGGTGAGGCAACATCAGCCACATTGAGTTCCAAAGTGAACACAAGATTATTGTTAAAAATTGGCAAAGAAATAAATGAGACATTTACCCTATTAAATTTGGTGAGTAGACTAAAGAAGAGTGTTTACAGGGAGAAGTCTAGTGGAGAAGGTGTATTGGACATTGATGATCTCCCTGTCTATAAGATCTCACCCAATGATCTCCAAAGGAGTGAGGCCAGAGTGAGTTAAGGGACAAATCTGAAAAAAAGGGATGTAATAGTCTATGAATGCCATCCATTTGGAAAGAATAAGTGATCTGGATGAAGTGTTGAACCCAACTAGTATAGAAGACTGAGCATCCCACTGGGAAGCCATGTGACAAACAACACCAGATTGGTAGATAAGGAGCCATCTCCCTTCCAAGCCATCCATGTGTATGGAAGGAAAGAGAGATCAGGGAACAAAATGGAATAAGATATGTTGAACAGAGTATGGGAGGCATACAAGTCATAAATATTGGAACAGCAATGACTCCAAACTATAAGGAGAAGGAAAGAGGCCTTCAAGGAAAGTTGAGAGAAAGAACAAGATGCCAAGGATTCAAACATGGTCTGGGTAAGTATAAAGAACCACAAAATGGTCCTAATTAGGCAAATGAGACAAATATGTAAAAAGAAAAGAGAAGAACCAGAAAAAAAGTAGAAGAACAGATGAAGAAAAGAAAGAGCCATGGTGAAAAAGGCAAAAGGTGGTTGACAAAACCATACAATATCCTGCAAAGATGTACACTGACAATTGCTGGTCAAACAGCCTGGTAAAGAAAAACAAATGATTGTCAACAAATGGATTGCCTGAGGAAGAGAGTGCCTGATGGGCCAGTGGTAATAAAAATGCCAATTGTATCAGTGAACAAAGAGTGAAAACATGAAATGGGCAGTACAAAAAAAGGCAACACACCTATTGAGTAAGAAACAGACAATCCTACATGGAAAGACAAAGAGACAACACTCCTGGATGTAAAAGTTGGAGCAAGAGGAACCTCAATGATGGAAGAAGAAGAGGTGCATAAGATGCCAGTCAGTGGAGAAGAGGAAATCAGGATAGAGCTAGCAAAAAAAGGTGCTACAACAGGATTCAGTGAAAAGTGTCAAGGAACATTGCCAAGACAATGGGGAAGGCAGGTAGCAGGGAACACATACAGAAAACATCAAAATAGGCTGTGTCCATAGCCAGAGCAACCTGTTGTGAGATCAGGGACCAAAAGACCTAAGGTGACCAAACACTCCATGATCTGCAGAAGAAATGAAGAAAGATGAGCCTGAATGAAGTATGAAGAGGAAAGAACTCTAAGGTGGATCAAATACACAGTCAGTCATGAACAACCAAAAAGTAAGACCTGAGAAGGGATATGGCTGAAGAAGAGTTCTACTAAGTAGAAGTGAAAAACAGCCAAATGTCCAGAAAGGAATGTAAATGCAGGCTGAAACTGTGGGTGTGGCGAGTAAAAGCCTTCATGACCTGGTTGAAGACATTAGGAGCAAAAGCCATGCCAAAGAGAAGAGCCAAAAACTGGTATACTGTATTGTGGAAAACAAACCAAAGGAAATGGCATGAAAACTGGGCTATTGGAATATGAAGAAAGACATCCAAAACACTGACTGTCTTCATCTAAAGACCAGTGGAAAACAACATATTAAGAGTAAGAAACCCCTTCATCTGAAACTGGGGAATCATGAGAAGTGGTTCAGAAAAGTATGATGATGAGATGTCAGTCCCCAGTATTAATGGGGACAATTAGAGGTGGAATTAGTAATCTGGAGAGGAAATAACTCTCTATGGCATTCACAATCAAGAGCTACAATATTATGTCTTTGAGATGGTAAAGGTGCTTAGGATCAGAAGGTGGAGGAAAAATAATGGGGAAAGGGGAAGTAAAGTGTAGAAACAGCAGGTAAGAACCTGAATGACCAAATGGTTGTCTGTGAAGGCAGTCTACAGGCTGGAAAAGAAGTGCCCTAATATGACCCATGCAACTGGGTAAAAAGGGAGGTAGTCACCAGTGGGATGGAAAAAGGCTAACTCTCCAGAAGGTGGAGTGGCAGGAAGAGGATTGTGAGAAGAGAAAGGTACATGAGTCAAGGCAAATGAGGGAATGCACAGGAACAGGCAAGATAGGAAATTAAAAAGTGATAGAAAAGTGATGGCCAGCAGTTTCCACCCAAGACTTCAAAGTGAGAGGAACATACCAAAGACCATGTGACAAATTATTAAAGTGAGATGCAAGCCACACTGGGAGGACTGAGGAAGGTGAAAGATGGAGAAAAAGGTGTCACATCTGAGTACATCTCAACAACACAGAAACCATGTGAGGATAGAGCACCAATGATGAGACTCTAGATTAAGTAAGGAAAAGAACTATATGGATCCCAGTAGAGGGACTCAGGTACGAGATAAGAAGAAAATAGTCAGCAAAGGAATAGAGCAAGAAGAAGTAAGCCCTGGTATTGGATACTAGAGACAGCGAGTCAATCCCCAAGCAGGCAGATGGGATTTCAGGGATTGAGGATTTAAGAAAGCAGAAAGGAAGCATCTATAAACCATGTTAAAGGAATCATAGAAATAAGGAGGACACAGTAGGGAAGAGTGGGAACAATGTTGTGAGAATATCTCAGCATAAATACAAAATCAGATGAAGGCGAAAAGAATAAAGATTATGAAGAAACATAAGACAGGAGAAAGGGAAGGCATAGTATAATTCTGACAAAAAGAGAAAAGAGAGAGAGAAATGATGGGTCCCTCAACAGCAAATGATGAGGCCAGAGCAACTCCAGGCATTGGAAAGAGCTGGACAAAAATGTTCACCTCATGGTCAAGCTGAGGAATGGAGAATACATATGAAATGGAAGGAGGAACTGGGAAAGAAGGCAAAATCCATGAATGGTGAAAAGAGGCAGTAATGTCTTTCCCAGTCAAATAATCTGTAAAGAGAAATGTCATTTAATGGTTTCTCAAGTTCTGCATACAACCATAATAATAGGATATTAACAAGTCTCATTATAGATGAAGTTTTGGCTTCATGAATAAAGGTAGAGCCACAGGGGGATAAAGCCGCAGTAATGCGAATTGGCAGGATTGAAAAATGATAACCCTAACA